AAATACAAAGGGATCGACATAATCCCCTGTATCCTATCTGACCACAGTGGAATCAAGCTAGCTCTCAATAACAAAGCATACCGCAGAAATTTCTCTAATACATGGAAATTGAACAGCACACTCCTTAACAAGGCCTGGGTAACAGAAGAGATCAGAGAAGAAATAAAGCATTTCCTAGAACTCAATGAAAATGAAAACACCTCACAAAGAAACTTGTGGGACACAGCAAAAGCAGTCCTGAGGGGCAAATTTATTGCCCTCAGTGCCCACATCAAGAGAATGGAGACAGACCAAGTAAATAATCTCATGTTGCAACTAAAACAGCTAGAAAAACAAGAAAAAATGGGACCTAAAGCTACTAGACGAAGCCAGATAACCAAATTGAGAGCAGAGATTAACCAATTAGAAAATCAGAAAACCATAACCAAAATAAACCAAACAAAAAGCTGGTTCTTTGAAAAAATAAACAAAATTGATGGCCCGTTGGCAAGATTAATTAAAAAAAGAAGAGAGGAAACCCATATTAATAGGATTAGGGATGCCACGGGAAACATCACAACACGTACCCAAGATATCCAAACAATTCTAACAGACTACTTTCAAAAGCTATACTCTCTAAAGGAAGAAAATCTGGCGGAAATGGATGCATTTTTAGAGAAATACAAGTTACCCAAACTGAGCAAAGAAGAAGTTAACCAATTAAATAAGCCAATATCCTATAATGAGATACAGGAAGCTATCAAAAGTCTTCCAACAAAAAAAAGCCCAGGACCAGATGGATTCACAGCAGAATTCTATAAGACCTTTAAAGAAGAACTAATACCCATACTCCTCAAGCTCTTCAGAGAAACAGAGAAGGAGGGAGCTATCCCAAACTCATTCTACGAAGCCAATATCACACTCATCCCCAAACCAGGCAAAGACCCAACCAAAAAGGAGAATTACAGGCCAATCTCCTTGATGAACACAGATGCAAAGATCCTTAACAAGATTCTAGCTAACAGAATCCAGAAACACATAAAAAAAATAATACACTATGATCAGGTAGGCTTCATCCCAGAGACACAGGGATGGTTTAACATACGTAAGTCAATAAATGTAATCCAGCATATCAACAGAGCCAAGGTCAAGAATCACATGATTATCGCCACAGATGCAGAAAAGGCCTTTGATAAAATTCAACATTCATTCATGCTAAAAGCTCTGGAGAAAATAGGAATAGAAGGAACATTTCTAAAAACAATAAAAGCCATTTATGACAGACCAATAGCCAATATTATACTTAATGGGGAAAAGCTACAACCAATCCTCCTAAAAACAGGAACAAGGCAAGGATGTCCACTGTCTCCACTCCTCTTCAACATAGTCCTAGAACCCTTAGCCAGGGCAATAAGGCAAGAAAAAGACATTAAAGGGATCCGCATAGGGAAAGAAGAAGTGAAACTATCCCTTTTTGCAGACGACATGATACTATACCTCCACGATCCCAAAAACTCCATCCCCAAACTTTTAGAAATCATAAGTCACTTCGGCAAAATAGCAGGATACAAAATAAACCCACAAAAATCAGTTGCCTTCCTATACACTGATAACGCACAGGAAGAGAGGGAAATAAAGGGAGCAACCCCATTCACAATAACCTCCCAAAAAATAAAATATTTAGGAATTAACCTAACCAAAGATGTAAAAGAACTATTTAATGAGAACTATAAAAAGTTAAAGAAAGAAATTGCAGAAGACACTAGGAAATGGAAAGACCTCCCATGCTCCTGGATAGGCCGACTTAATATAGTAAAGATGGTGATACTTCCAAAATTAATATACAAATTCAATGCAATTCCTATTAAAATCCCAATGACGTACATCACTGAAATACAGAAAACAGTCCAAAAATTTATATGGAACAACAAAAGACCTAGAATAGCCAAAACAATTCTAGGGGATAAAGACAATATGGGAGGGCTATCCATGCCGAACTTCAAACTCTACTACAGAGCTATAATCACAAAGACAGCATGGTACTGGCACAAAAACAGACCCGAAGACCAATGGAACAGAATAGAAGATCCAGATATAAATCCACAGGCCTACAGCCAGCTGATATTCGACAAAGGAGCCAAAGACATACAATGGAAGAAACACAGCCTCTTCAACCGCTGGTGCTGGGAAAACTGGGCAGCCACATGCAGAAAACTAAAAGTGGACCCCAGCCTATCACCATGCACCAACATCAACTCAAAATGGATTAAAGACCTTAACATTAAACCTGAATCTCTGAAACTACTGCAGGACAGAGTAGGAGAGACACTTGAACTAATAGGCACAGGAAGGAACTTCCTGAACAGAGTCCCAGGGTCACAACAAGTTGGAGAGAGACTCGACAAATGGGACTACCTTAAAATAAAAAGCTTCTGCACAGCTAAATCTATCGCAACTAAGCTAGAAAGACAACCAACTAATTGGGAAAAAATATTTACCAGCAATATATCAGACAAGGGGTTAACATCCTGTATATACAGGGAACTCAAGAAACTAATCCCTCCCAAACCTAACAAACCAATTACTAAATGGGCAAGGGAACTAAAGAGGGACTTCTCAAATGAAGAAATAAAAATGGCAAAGAAACACATGAGGAAATGTTCATCATCCCTGGTGGTGAAGGAAATGCAAATAAAGACAACCCTGAGATACCACCTTACCCCAGTCAGAATGTCCCACATCCACAAATCAGCCAACGACAAATGCTGGAGGGGATGTGGAGAAAGAGGAACCCTATTACACTGCTGGTGGGAATGTACACTTATACAACCACTTTGGAAAGCAGTCTGGAGGGTCCTTAGAAAGCTAAAGATTGACCTCCCTTACGACCCAGTCATACCACTTCTAGGCATCTACCCTGAACAACAGGAACCAATATACAAGGACACGTGCACCTCCATGTTTATTGCAGCACTGTTCGCAATAGCTAGGATATGGAAACAACCTAGGTGCCCCACCACAGATGAATGGATCCAAAAATTGTGGTATCTATACACAATGGAATATTATGCAGCCATTAGAAATGACAAAATAATGGCATTTGCAGGGAAATGGATGGAGCTAGAAGGAATCATGTTGAGCGAGGTAAGCCAAGAACGAAGAGACAAACGGTACATGGTCTCCCTCATAAGTGGATGCTAAATCCAAAAGGTTAGTGATACGACAAAACTAACAGGACTTAAGAAACAAAGAACTCCCGCTCATCTGGTTGAACCACTACTAAATATCCTCATGCTGCTGATCACAAATATGGTATATAACATGTGAACACTGTTATATATTACAGACTGTGGTAGACAATTTGCTCCAGGGAAGTTAGAATGAACTTGTGACTTTGAAATTATGTAATCATTTAATCACAATCAAAAAAAAAAAAAAAAAAAGAACCTCGGGGAAGGGAGGGAGGGAGGGGATGGTAGGGGGAAAACAATGGAGGGGGTAACAATGTTCAAGAGGAAGTGTACTCATAACCTCACTCATGTAACTGTGACCCTCTGTATAGTAGCTTTACAATAAAAAAAAAAAAAAAAAAAAAAAAAAAGAAAAAAAAAAAAATCTAGATCCAGAAAAAAAAAAAAAAAAAAAAAAAAAAAATAAAGAGGGATGGGACCACGTGTGCATAGCTTCCTGGAGGAGAGGTTATTGGAGGCTGTCTTAGAGACTGCCTAGCATATAGAATGTTTAATTCTACTTAAGTACTGGTAAGAAGCCTGGTCTTGGTGAAATGTTTTATTTTTCCCTCCTCAAAAATTAAAAACATTTAAAAATATCTCCACAGTGAGAGATAGAATCTTCCTTTTCTGTGCCTCTTTGAATTACTACATTTTTCCAAATCTCAGGACTTCTAACATAGCCTACCCTTGATTCTTCAAGTCTTAGTATTGGCTTCTCCTACTTTTCTTCATACATTCTGCGAATATCTATTGAGAACAAATGCTATGTCAGGAACTGTTCATACCAGTTAGCAGATCATTCCCTTCCTAGGCTTTGTTTTCCTTATGAACTTTATAATTTTACCATTAAATAGTTGTACAGGGGTTTAAATTTAACACGTGTATTTGCTAAATTTATTCTATATCTAATAAGATGAAAAAAATCAAATCAAACATGGATAATTGGAACTATTACCTTCAAAATACATTGTTTCAGTAGCTATGTTCTGTGATTGGTAAGGTGAAACTTAAAGGCCGTTAAGATGACTGCTAAGCAAGTAGGGGTCTTTCTTCCTTTGTATAAATGTTATGGCTTACATCACTTAAACCCTTCAATATAGGACTACTACATTTTTTCCCCCAATGGAGAAGATGACCATTATGCTATCTCTTTCAACACACTCTTCTTCACAATGTGGGGATGCACATTGGGAAAAATGTGTAGACTTAAAGGAGGGTGGGAGGTGGGTAAAACATAAAATTGCTATCTCCAAAAACACAGGAGTAAGTCAGACGTAAAATGATGTTATGTATCATTCTCTTTCAAATGATGCAGTGTGATAGAAAGCATTTCTCCCAATAAGGCAGAAAGGCATAGAGCATCTTTTCTATAGATTCATATCCTATTCCAGTATTTCAAAGATTCAAGGATTATGATTAGCCCTGAAACATCCCTCTATGGAGTCTCTTATCTTTGTTTTTTTTTTAAATATTTTAAAAAGTTCTCGTTAAAACTATTTATACCAATAAATCTCTCTGCCGAATGTCAGATCAGCCTGCAGTGAAGAGGTAAATGGAAACTAATGACACCGATCAAGTTGATGGTGTGAATGATTTATTGGATCCAATCACTTAACACTTTCATAAAGTCAATATCAGGAAAAGAAAACTGGACTCTTATTACGGTCAACTCTATTTGTACTGTCAGCACCCAGTGATTTATGACGAACCTATGGCTGGGATTAGGATATTATAAATGGAAGAAAAATGGAAGGCTCATTAATTTCCCCTTTTTTTCTCTGCCCACAGGTGGAAGATATGCAGTGGGCTAATAGAGAACACACTCACCCAGCTTCTGTCTGCAGCCTGCCGTGTAAGCCCGGGGAGAGGAAGAAGACCGTGAAAGGGGTCTCTTGCTGCTGGCACTGCGAACGCTGCGAAGGTTACAACTACCAGGTGGATGAGCTCTCCTGCGAACTCTGCCCTTTGGATCAGAGACCAAACGTCAACCGCACGGGCTGCCAGCGCATCCCTATCATCAAGCTGGAGTGGCATTCTCCCTGGGCCGTGGTGCCCGTGTTTGTTGCCATCTTGGGCATCGTCGCCACCACCTTTGTGATTGTGACCTTCGTCCGCTACAACGACACGCCGATCGTGCGGGCCTCGGGCCGGGAACTGAGTTATGTCCTCCTCACGGGCATCTTCCTCTGCTACTCCATCACCTTCTTAATGATCGCCGCGCCCGACACAGTCATCTGTTCCTTCCGAAGGATCTTCCTAGGCCTTGGCATGTGTTTTAGCTATGCTGCGCTTCTGACCAAAACAAACCGCATCCACCGAATATTCGAGCAGGGGAAGAAATCTGTCACCGCGCCCAAGTTCATTAGTCCGGCCTCTCAGCTGGTGATCACCTTCAGCCTCATCTCCATACAGCTCCTGGGGGTCTTCGTGTGGTTCGTGGTGGATCCCCCCCACACCATCATCGATTATGGGGAGCAGCGGACACTCGACCCAGAGAACGCCAGGGGAGTGCTCAAGTGTGACATTTCTGACCTCTCGCTCATTTGTTCACTGGGATACAGTATCCTCTTGATGGTCACCTGTACTGTTTACGCCATCAAAACGAGAGGCGTCCCCGAGACTTTCAACGAAGCCAAACCGATCGGATTTACCATGTACACCACCTGCATCATTTGGTTAGCCTTCATCCCCATCTTTTTTGGCACTGCCCAGTCAGCAGAAAAGGTAAGCAGCAGGAAATGCATGTGACAGCTCTTTTCGCGGATTTAAATTCTTCCTTTGGGATGCTTTTCTTCCTTTGGGGTTCATTTATATTCGCTCAAGATGCTTTAGTATGTGTTATTCTCATTCAGAAGCACACACACTGTATATCTGAAGGTCACATGTCTTTCGAGTATATGTTGACTAAAGCTGATTTTCCATGAAAATTATAAAGAAAAAAAATCCACACAACTAAACACTGTATTGCATCCTCCTTGGCAAGGTTGAAGATTGACACCACGCATACCATTTTTCCAGGGCACTCTTCCCAGCTCTGTTATCTAAAAAACTCCACTGTTCTGTTCCAAATGTTAATTAAAAGAGAGTAGGAGAAAGGGCAGATGTGGCTCACAGAGGTGAGCTGTCCCAGACAGATCTCACAGCATAACAAATGATCCCTCTCCTGCTCTACCAGAACTCTGGGTGAAGAAATAAATTCCCTGATAATCATGATGCTTTTAGTTATAGAAGTTTTAAAGTTTAGACTAAAATAATCAATTAAAGAGGAAGTAAAATGGCTTACTACTATCGACTCATCTTCCTGAAATTTCTCCTCAGTCTCTACTTTTATTACTTTTCCATATGTGGAAGCCAATACAGAAGGATTTAGAAGGCAGCAATGGACAGTTATTTAAAGCACTAGTGTGTGTGTGTGTGTGTGTGTGTGTGTGTATGCTGGTACTGAGGTGTGAACTCGGGGCCTGGCCACTGTCCTTTAGTTTCATCACTCAAAGCTAATGCTTTATTACTTGAACCATAATTCCACTTCCAGTTTTTTTTGTGGTGAATTTGAGACAAGGGTCTCATGAGCCTTTTCTGCCTGGGCTGGCTTTGAACTGTGATTCTTATATCACAGATTTCTAATTGCTATGGTTACAGACATAGGGCTACAGCACTGGCTATAAGGTGCTTTTTAGAAGGTGAGGATTTATCATGTCTCCCAAAGTAATTTCCTTTGTCATTAATCTCCCATTCACTTTTCAACTAAACACAGTTCATAAAGAATATGTAATATAAGAGTGTGTATTGATTAGCTGGGATGCATATAGTTTTATGTACAGAGAAGGCAAGAGCTACAATTAAATCTGAAAGGCAGGATTGAGGTGGTTGGATGGAGAACAGAGGTAGGTTCTGTCTTTCTGTAGTGAGAGGCCCTTAGCTCCAATGTGTATGTATGGGAGATCTTTCCAGTGAGGACTTAAAAGGACTGGTCCCTTCTCCATCATTGTAAATGGGACAAAATTGGACTGTGAGGGATGCTGTATTGCCTGAGATACATTTTAGGTAAGGTTCAGCATGACTTAAAATCCCAGCGAAGTCAGTAAGGGGTTCTCAGTAAGGGGTGGCAAGGCTTATTTGGCTGAGCACTCATCTTTTCTGGGTAAATGTGGTCTTCAACTAAGAAATTTAAAAAATGTGTTTCTGCCAACATTTCTGAACAGCATGGGCTCCAGACCCTTTGCGCTTTCCTGGTTGTATGTCTCCATGGGGGTCCACAAATATTTGGTATAGGACTATGACGATGGCTGGAATGTAAAAGTAAGACATTTGAAGCTCTAACCCTAACAATCTGAATGTGTTTTTGGAATATAAGGATGGAAAGTTGTTAGGATCAAACTGACACATGTAACTTACAAAAGGATGTATGAGCTAAAAAAATCTCTCAATCCTATTTTTAAACATGATTTATTGGACCAGTCAGTGCAGAATAATATTTTTCAAAGCATGAAAATGTCAACCTTATATGAATTTTTAATAAGCTTGACTTACTTTCTTATATTTATGTTTGAATCTTTCTCTTTAGTTTTACTTGGATAGGGCTTTCATTAGTGGCTTTCCTCTGATTTCTGCTGGATACAAAGTATTTATACCAAGTAAAATCTGGGTGACATATAGCTTCGTTTACCTTTTCTTCTCTTTTTTGACATCTTTATAACTTATCTTTTTTAACCTAGTGATTTTCACTTAAGAGGTCAAACATGTACATAAATAAGATGGTTTTCTCTCTGTTGTTACAACTAAGTATACCAACTTTTAATCCAAATAAAATTGCCCTATATCAAAGTATTATACTTTGTCATAGTAGTCACATATGCCTTAAATGTTACTTTAACTATTTTATCTTGGAGCTCTGCTATTGTTGCTGTGTAGCTTCTCCCTGAGGAAGGAAGATGGCGACAAGAATTTGGGGGTTAAATGGACACTGGAATATGGCAGAGGGTATAGCTTTCCCTGTGTTGTTGAGCCTAGAAGAGTTAGATGACATCCACTTGAAAACCTGGGAATTACATTTATTTATATAAGTATGGAAATATTCCCGCATAATCAATTTCCTATTTTTTTTCCTTAGCTTTGTAGAGTCAAAGTATAAGAAACAAATTATAAAAGGAATGATAGAAACATGCTAGTTGGTTTTGTGTGTGTGTGTGTGTGTGTGTGTGTGTGTGTGTGTGTGTGTGTGTGTGTGTGTGTATGTTTGTGTATATTTATGTTTAACCTGGTGTTGAACTCAAGGCCTGGGCTTTGTCCCTGAATTTTGTGCTTAAGAATAGCACACTAATGCTTGAACCACTTCTGGCTGCTTTTTGATGGGTAATTGGAGATAAGAGTCCATGAGACTCTTACAATGGATTCATGAGCTGCCTGGGCAGGCTTCAAACCACAATCCTCATATCTCAACCTCTAGATTATCTAGGATTACAGGTATGATAAAATTAAATACAGGACAATTTGAAAAACCCAATAAGAAGCAATAGCTCTTAGGATTATTAGGCCATTGTAGAGTCCTTGTATTATTTCGCCTTGGAGTTGTTCAATTTAGATTGCTTGTATCATAAATAAGGTCTTGCCTCTGAAGTATCTTATGTAATAGAAGTATGTACTATCCTAAACTTACCTTAAAATTTGCTACCTGCTATTCTTTCTCAAATTTATCTTTTGTCTCTCAAAACAAGATAAGATGCTAGAGGGTATTAATTCATTTATACCATTTCTAAAATATTTATTGAGAAGAATATTATAAATAAACAAGACATGTATACTTCTACAAGAACTTCTTAAAAAGTTTATTGACTTTGAAAGAGCAAAGAACTGGTCATTCTTCCATTTTAATTTATAATGCTCAGCCAATTAGCTTCACATTACCAACGTGGAGCATTTATAATAGCCAGGCAGACTGCATATCCATTCATCCAGCAGATCCTTATCGAGCATTTGTCCAACATTGTGCTGATTATTGAACTCATGTCAGTCTGCTTCTCTGAGCCTTCTTTGTAAGAAGCTCATGCCTTCTTGTTGCCTTCCAACTCCAGTGAAGTGTGAGGCTCAAGGGCCCGAAAGATGGTGAGAGGAGATGAAGCAGTAAGGAATATACATCCTTCAACAACACATAGTGACATGAAATATCAGAAAAAGCATAAATGCTTCCTGCATACATTTGATTGTGTCATCTTAGAGTAATTTCTGTAGCCAAAACTCATCTCACCACACACAGTTTTCTGAAATTACAAGAAGCAGGAAGATAGAAGAAAATTATTTTATGCAGCTGTTTTGGAAAACATTTTGGTAAAATTAAGCTTTAAGGAGATGGTTGCAAAGAAGTAACAGAAGCCTGTGTTCATTCAGGAACAAGACACCATTTAATTTCTCCACATTCTTTGTTTTTATTTGATTTTGAAATTAAATCATGTTTTTTCAATAGCTTTCAATAACATTATGTATGCTTACGGGTAAAATCTGCTAAGTCATGATATAAATGCACCTTTTCTCTTCCTATTTAGTGGTGTCAAGGGTAGAGGCCTATATGTAAACACAAGCACATAATTGTACTAAATAGACAAAAAGTAATCATAACAACAATAATTAACTTAATAGGAAAAGAATCCTTAGGAGTAGTTAGGAGCTGTTAGGATGTCAGAAATCCCACAAACACTCATTTTACCTTCCTAATTGGGCTTATGAAATAGAAATAACCAGACAAGGGTTATGACACTGCTAAACTCCAGGGAGCATTGTGCTTCAACCGAAGCATCAGACAAAACAACGTAGTTTCAAAAAGGAAAAGAAAATGAAGCTCAAACTCTTTCTCCTCCCCCCCCCCACAAAACAACAACAACAACAACAACAACTAAAACCTAATACTTCTTGAATGAGCTTTTCTTCCTCCTCTTTCTAGATATATACTACAGTGTACCTACTGCATACATCCTGATCTGGTCACTCAAGACAGTAACCTGGGTCAACTTTGGCCCCACCCTCTACTCATTCTCATCCTTTTATTTCTTGTATGAATTTATAGGCTCTCAGTAGTGTTGATATGATGTATTTCTGAATGAATATGTCAATGTACAGCCCTTCAAATGGTATCTTCTCAAGTACCTATTAAAGGAGTGAATGGAATATCTTGTACAACACTAGCATAGTGTAATAATGTAAATGCCTACTTTGGATTTACATTAGATTATGCCATAATGTGAAAATTTTTTTTGTCCGTCATGGGCCTTGAACCGTGGGCCTGGGTGCTGTCCCTGAGCTCTTCATCTTGAGGCTAGTGCTCTACCACTTGAGCCACAGTGCCACTTTCTGAATTTTTTAATATGCATCCTATTGTGATCCTCTTTACAAGGTTATTTCTTCTGGTTGTCTCCATTTAATGATAGAATGCATACCTCACTTGAACTTTTTTTTGCCATTATCACTTACTCTGAGTAAGGACTATTAAGTATTTACAGAAAAGGCAAAGAAGTAATCCAGTTACCGTTCATTCTATTAAAATTTACAAAGCAAAGTCCAGTCAGTTCTTTGCTCATGCTGCCCCACCTTTGTGTTTTTATGATTTCTGTCTCTCTGGAGGCAGATGCAGGGATCAGTGAGGAAGAGGGTGAACTCTGGAGAGTCAGGACTTGTTTTGCTTTCCCCAGCCTGCTAAGCTAACTAAGAAAATTTAAAGAAATGTACTCATTAGC